GAGGCTGCGGGGGGAAAGGCGGAGTGGGGGGTGCAAAAAGCGGGGAGGGGCAGGCGGCGGCCGCCACCGAGGCCTCGAGCCTGCCGGGGGTCGGGCCTGTGAGGGGGGGAACAGGATCAGCCCCCCCGGAGCGGCTGCCACAGGCCGCGCTTTGTGCCCACGCGTGGGGCGCACAACGGCCCCATTGAGCGGGGGAGCGGGGGGGCTCGGGCTGAGCTCTGCCGGGACCGGGAGGGGGCGGGGAGCGGAACCGGGGGGGCTGCGGAGCCGGGGGGGCTGGGGAAGCTCGGGGTGATGCCAGGCGGTTCAGGGAATGCTGAGGGGTCCGTGGGGGGGACTGAGGGGTCCCGAGGGGCGCTGCGGGGAGGTTTGGGCGGGGTCAGGAGGACACCGGGGGAGCAGAGGGGCACCAGGTGCCGCGGGGATGGGGCAGGGAGGAGGCTGCAGGCGGCCCCGCTCGCTCGGGGTCCCACGCGCGCCCCTCACCGTGGGCCGGGGCCTCCCCCAGGAGCGGCGCCGGGTCCCCCCTCCCGGCTCCGGTAATCACGTGACGCCCCAGAGATGCTCCGTGCCCTCCACCAATCAGCGCGCGGGGATCGCCTGCATCCCGCTCGGCCAATGGGGAACCTCCAGGCGCTACGTCATCGCGGTCGGCCGCGCCCCGCCTCGCCATTGGCTGCTCCCCGCGCTGGCTCCGGCCAATCGCCGCCGTCCCCGGCCTCGCAACCACCTCGCCCCCGCGGCCTCACAACCGGTGGCGTCATCGCCGCCCGCCGACCAATCAGAGACGTGCTTGCCATTGACAGGCAGGTGAAGAAGCCAATCGGGATCCAAAGCAGCGGGGCCGGGGCGGGCGCGGGGAGGTGCGGGCGGAAGCGGAAGCGGCGGCGGCGGCGGGGGAAGATGGCGGCGCGGCGGGGCCCGGGGCCGGTGGCGGTGCTGGCACTGCTGGCGCTGCTTGGCTCGGGGTGGCCCCTCCGTGGGGCCCGAGCCGCGCTCAACCTGCAGGAGCTCAGCGAGCTCAAGTACGGCCTCGAGATCCTGGCCGAGCCCGTGCTGGCCGGGCAGGTGCGCCGCGGCACCGGGGCCAACGGCTGGGGGTCGGGAGGCGGGCGGCGTCATGGGGGCCCTACCGGGACCGGCGCACCGGCCATGGGGCTGCCGAGGAGGGGGGCACCGGCGGCGGGTCAGGAATGCGGCCCGGGGGGTCCCACGGGCACCGGGAGCCCCTGTCCGAGGACGTTCCGGGGCGGGGCAGCGGTCAGGGCCGGTACCGGGCCCGGGGCACCGGCCCGTGCTCCCGACTGGGGCTCGTTCCGGGGCCGGGGGCACCGACCGGGGGCTGCTGGGGAGTGGAACGTGGCCGGGGGTTCCCTACAGGGCCCAGGGACACCGAGCCAGGGGCAGGGACGCTGATCCGGGGCACCGGCCCGGGCGGGTCCTGCGGGGTCCCGGGGGGATCCTGGCCGGGATCGGCGGAGCTGGGGGGGACACGGGGATGGGGGGGGGGACACTGTGGGATCCGTACCTGCCTCGCTGAGCAGCTCCGCGGGGCCAGCCGGGCCCGGGCTCCCGGGGGGACCGTGACCCCCGGAGCTCGTGGGGCCCGGGCGCTGCTGCTGCCGGTGTTCGTGGGCGGCCGGGCCGGATGTGGCTCGGGGAGTGGCAGGGGAGGGGACTCGCTTCGTGTTTTGGGTTCCCCAAATTGGACGGGGAGGGGACGCCCCGCCCGCAGTTGCTGCCGGGTTTCTGTCCCTGGGGCTCCCTGGGGCTCCTCGAGCTGTGGGGCACCCGAGGGTTTGAGGGGTGGTCCCGAGCCCCCTGCAGCTGCGGGGGACAGTGACAGTCCCGTCCCTCCTGTGTCCCGGGCAGTGACAGTCCCGTGTCCCCCCTGTCCCCCTGGCTGTGACAGTCCCGTGTCCCCCCTGTCCCCCGGGCTGTGACAGTCCCGTGTCCCCCCTGTCCCCCGGGCAGTGACAGTCCCGTGTCCCCCCTGTCCCCCTGGCTGTGACAGGGCCGAGGCTGCGGTTTGCCCGGGCCCCGGGGGGGATGGGCTGGGGGGTTCTGTCCCGTCCCACCGGGGCTGGAGGGACACGGGGGGGGCTGTGAGATCTCTGGGGGGCTGTGGGGTCCCGGGGGCTGCTGTGGGCTCCCGGGGGGGGCTGTGGGGTCCCGGGGGGGGCTGTGGGCTCCCGGGGGGTGCCCAGCGCTCTGACAGCCCCCTGGCCCCCCAGCACCAGGCCGAGGATGTGGTGACAGTGGCCTCGAGGTTCAAGCAGCGCTACGAGTGCCGCCTGCCCCCCGCGGCCGTGGGGCCCCCCCCCGGCCCCCCGCGGGACCCCCGGCTCTACAACGGCTCCGGCGTGGCCGAGCTGCTGCGACCCATGGGGACAGCGCCCTGTCTGCTCAAGGTGGCACCGCGGGGACACGGGGGGTGGCAGGAGGACACGGGGGGTGTCAGGAGACTCGAGGGGTGGCAGGGGGACACCCCCAGCCTCACCCAGGGACTCTGCTCTTCCCAGACCAAGGACTGGTGGACGTACGAGTTCTGCTACGGGAGGCACATCCAGCAGTACCACCTGGAAGGTGACCGTGGGGACAGGGGAGGGGACAGAGGGGCCCAGGTGAGCCCCACCCCACCAATGTCTGCCCTCTGTGTCCCCACTCCCCACAGAGTCTGAGATCAAGGGTGACATCCTCGTCCTCGGCTATTACCAGTCCGCCTTTGACTGGGACGACGAGACAGCCAAGGTCCGTGTGCCCCCCACCCTGGGGACAGGGACAGGGCTGTCCCCGGGGCTGTCCCCATGCCCACCCCGCGCTCCTCCCGTCCCTCCAGGCCTCCAAGCAGCACCAGCTGAGGCGGTACCACAGCCAGAGCTACGTCAACGGCTCCCGCTGCGACCTCACCGGGCGCGCCCGCGAGGCCGAGGTTCGGGTAAGGACGGGGGACACTGCAGGGCACAGGGAGGGGACACTGCAGGGCACAGGGGACACTGCAGGGCACAGGGAGGGGACACTGCAGGGACCAGGGACACTGCAGGGCACAGGGAGGGGACACTGCAGGGCACAGGGGACACTGCAGGGCACAGGGAGGGGACACTGCAGGGCACAGGGGACACTGCAGGGCACAGGGGACACCGGGAGGCACCTGAGGGAAGGCCAGGGTGTCACCCAGGCCCGTGCCCACAGTTCCTGTGTGAGGAGGGTGCCGGGGACTACATCGCCCGCGTGGACGAGCCGCAGTCGTGCTCGTACGTGCTGACGGTGCACACGACGCGCATCTGCCACCACCCGTTCCTGCGGCCGGCCCCGGGGCTGGCCCCGCAGCCCATCCGCTGCCAGCCCGCCCTGTCCCCTGCCCAGTACGTGCAGTACGTGCGTGCCCAAGTCTGTGAGTATCGGGGAGCCCTGGCAGGGCGTGGGGCTGTGGTGTGGGGCTGGCACTGTCCCCTTCACCATGGGGCTGGCACTGTCCCCTTCACCCTGGGGCTGGCACTGTCCCCTCCATCCCGGGGCTGGCACTGTCCCTTTCACCATGGGGCTGGCACTGTCCCCTTCACCCTGGGGCTGGCACTGTCCCCTCCATCCCGGGGCTGGCACTGTCGCCTTCCTGGTGCTGTCCCCTCTGTGCCAGGGCTGGCCGTGTCCCCTCTGACACAGGACTGCCGTGGGCCCCTGCAGCGTGGAGCTGGGCCTGTCCCCCCACGGCTGTGCTGTCACTGTCCCTGTCCCGTGTCCCCAGCTGACACCAAGCGGAAGGTGGAGGAGATCTCGGAGGAGCTGCGGACGCTGGACACGCGCCTGTGGAGTGACAGGGACAGCGAGCCCCCCTCACAGACCCCTGAGGGCAGCCAGGCTGGTATGGCCCCTGTCCCCACCTCATGGCCTGTGTCCCCTGTCCCTCTGGGACCTCTGGCCAGGCTGTGGGCTTGAAGCTCCCAGGGCCAGGCAGGTCCCCCCTGTGGCAGCTGTGTCCCCCCCTGTGCCAGGGAACCAGCCAGACCCAGCCCAGGATGTGACAGTTGGGGACCAGGAGGCCACAGTCACAGCCAGCGACCAGCGGGACAGCACCAGGGTGAGTCCCATTGGCCCTGGGGACATTCTGGGGGTCTTGGGGTGGGTTGGGGTCACTTTCTGGGGGATTTAGAGTCCTGCTCCATCCCCTGTCTCCTCCCTGCAGGAGCCATCCCCGAGGGCAGCTGGCGGCCGGGCAGCTGGTGAGTCCTGGGGTGCCCACCCCATGTCACCTCCATGCCCACCCTGTGTCCCCCATGTCCCCCCTGCACCCCCCTGTCACTCCCAGCCCGCTGTTCTGGGTTCCCTCGTAGATCCACGGAAGAAAATCCACTTCAAGGTGATCCGGAGCCCTGGGGACTTGCTGCAGTTCATCGAGGAGCTGAAGGAGACCACCAGGAAGGTGGGGACCTCCCCCTTGCCCCTTGGGCCTCTCTGTGCCTCAGTTTCCCTCTGAGCCCCTAACCACTGCCTCAGGCCAAGAAGAAGGCGAGCGAGGAGGAGGAGGCAGCGGCGAAATCTCCCCCGGCCCCGCCTGGCCCCGCAGAGCCCCCCAACCCCGAGGCACCGCCTGACCCCGAGGCCTCCCCCACGGGGGTGGAGGAGGAGGACAGGGAGGAGGAGGAGGATGAGGAGGAGGAGGAGGAGGCAGGGCCACTGCTGGCGGGGCTGGAGCTGCTGCCACGGGAGCAGGTGGCGAGGCTGAAGGAGGAGGTGAAGAGCCAGATGGAGCAGGAGTTCGACAGCATCATCAGCGAGGTGGGGACCCTTGGCCGGGCTGGGATCCCCAGAGGGGCACTGGGACCCCTCTGGCCGGACGCTGTAGCCACACTTGGGGGTCCCTGGTGGGGATGAGACCCTCTGGCCAGGCTGGGGCTGCCCAGGCAGCGATGGGGGAGCCCCCAGCCGGATTGCACCGTGGCCTCCAGTTGGGTTGGCTGCCCCTAGCAGCACTGGGGTCCCCCTGCTTGCTGTGGGGACACCCTGTCCACACCAGGGAGCCCCTGACCATGCTGGGAACCCCTCCCCGCTATGCTGGGGACCCCCTCACTGCACTGGGACTCGCCTGGCTGGGCTGGGGAGCCCCTGGGACGGTTGGGACACCTCGGCTGTGCTGGGGGCCCTGTGGCTGGGCAAAGATGGGGACAGGCTGAGGACACCCTTTGTGGGCCAGGGAGCCCCCAGCTGCTCTGGGCACCTGCTGGCCACGCTGGGGAAGCCACCTTTAACCCCTCTTGCAGGTAGAGGATGAGTTGGAGACCGAGGGGCTGAAGGGGGAGTTTGACCGGACCCGCGCAACGCGAACCCTTGCGTCCACCCTGACGCGGCTGATGGACCGGCTGGACAGGGCTGACCCCCAGCACGAGCTCCCCGAGCCCCACCACGACCCTCCCGGGCCCCCCCCCGCTCCCGGGGGGCACAGAGAGGAGGAGGAGGAGGAGGAGGAGGAGGGGGGAGCAGCGAGGAAGGGCAGCCCCAGGCTCCCCAAGGACGGGCGGGTGCGGGTGCGGATGAGCAGGGTCGGGAACCGCGAGGCGCCCCAGGACCGGGAGCCTTCCCAGGGCAAGCAGGAGCCTCTCCAGGAGGATCAGGAGCCCCCCCGGGAAAACCAGAGCCCCCCACAGCTGCCGCAGGTGGAGAACGAGGTGCGGGAGTTGCTGGCCAAGGAAGGGCTGCGGGCTGAAGGTAGGGAGGGGTCCGGGCGGGGGAGGCAGCCGGGGGGAGCCCCCCCCTCCCCCAGATCAACCCCCAGGGCCCCCTCCCCAGGGAAGATCGAGATCAAGATCGTGACGGCGTCGTCGGGGGGCGAGGAGGAGGAGGCGGCGCAGTGGCTGTCGGAGGAAGATTCCCGGAGCCTGAAGGAGATTTTCCTCAGCATCCTGGTGCGGGGGCCATGGGGGCTGGGGCTCGGGGCTCGGGGAGCTGCTGATGGTGGGGGAAAGCAGGGACACGGCTGAGGTGCAGGAAACTGAGACGGGCTGGAAGTGGGGCAGGGCAGGGCTGGGGAAAGAGGGGCTGAGGGATGGGGGGGCATCACTGAGGAGGGGGGGACACACTGAGGTGGAGAGGCAGGGGCAGGACACGGGCACGGGGGGAACTGGGGAGGGAAAAGTGGGGTACGGGGAAATAGTGAGGGGAGGGGG